CTGGGGGCCGGCGACTGGGTTAGCTGGCTTTTATGGGGACTGGGTTAGCAGGTTACACTGGAGGCTGGATTATACTGGGGTGGGACACTGGGTTAGACTGGGGGCAGGATGGTGTGGGGGTCCCCCAGCCCCGGGGTGGGAGGAGGGCCCCAGCGAGTCCCCGTGACGCAGGGGGAGTCCGGCCAGTGCCTGTCCCGGGCCCTGTCTCACCCCGGGGCTCCATTCCCCGCCCAGGGCAGCCGAGGAGCCAACGCCATGAGGCTCTACAGCCTAAGTGTCCTTTACAAGGGAGACCCCAAAGTGCATTTATTGAAAGCTGCCTACGACGTGTCCACCTTCAACTTCTTCCAGAGGTCCAGGTGGGTGTCCGGAGGGCCACAACCTCCCAGCGCAGCTGGGGGGGAAATCTCCCCTGAGAGCTGCGGGGTGGGCACATGACTCGGGCAGAACCGTGCAGAGAGGGAGTCAAAACTTCTTTTTGGGGGGTGGTTCTTCCTTATTCTGCTCCTTATTCTGCTGCTGTGTCCTCCAGGGATGCGGTGGTGATGGTAACAGTCTTCTCCTAAGGGATAACCACATCCCTCCCCCCTGCAGCGAGGCTCCCCTGGGGAGCTGTGTGCTGCGTGTGCGGTTTAGCGATGCAAAATCCACTTTGAGCCATCTTTCAGCCTCAGGAACAGAGTGAAACTTCGTTTTTCCTACGAGCCACCCAGGCTCAGCAGCAGGAGCTCAGGTTCCACTCAGGAAATCATCCACCGACTGATAAAATCTGGGTGCCGGGAAACACCCTGAGTGCTCGGGTCAGCCCTTCTCCCTCCAGCGAGTGCCTAAACCCAGTAGTCACAGTGGCTCCTGGGGTGCGAGAGGCGAGTGGGAGGATGCGTGTCTTTGTGTCAGGCTAACAAGGCACGCCTGACACCTCTAGTATCTTTTAATTTAGGTGTTTGGTCTAAACTTTGCCCAGCCCACAAACCTCCACTCGGGTTATTCTGACGGCTTTGGGTGAACTGGTTTAGCCCTGAACGCTGATCCGGGCTCCCGGGTATCCCGCTGCCCGCTCCATGCATGCGGAGAGGCCACAGAGCACTCTCAGCTGCTGCCCTTGCACTCGCAGCTGAGGGGAGCTCCCAAAAGCTGCTAAAAGCTGTAAAATAAAGTGGGTGCCTGTTGCGAAACAGCTCATTTCCCAGCCCTCGGCTCCAGACGATAAAGTCTTTAGGAAATACTCACCTACAGAACTCGAATTTTCCATGCCCCATCCCTGCCAAGGTTTTTATGAGCCCCGAGCACATTTGGTTCTGCAATTCCAGTGATAAAGGCAAAACACTGAAGTTAAGATTGTCTTAAAAAAATCCTCTTTTAGCCAAATATGTGAGAGGGATAGAGGAGCTGTGCCAGTGCTGCCAACGCACGCGCTTGAAGATGGATTGCGGTGGGTGAAGTAATCTCTTAAAAACCCAAATCCCTTCGTAGTCGTAGCTCTCTCGGTTTTCCAAATCCTCAGAATGTTCCCTGCCTGGTTTTGCCATCGGCTATGGCCAAAAGAGCTGCTTCCCCGGCAGCTGGTTATTTCTTTGCTTTAAAAAGAAGTCTTGGCTTTTTGGAAACAGTGATACCTTTTACAGCAGGTGAGGGGGTGTCTGTGCTCGTTAGTCTTGCAGCTTTTCTCTGGTGGCTAATCCTTGTCCTAAGCTGGTTGCCTGGTTGTGCTTAGAGGGGCTGCTTGCGCCTCAGTGCCTGTGAGAGCTTAGGTGCCATATTTAAGGCGCAGTTAACTTCAGTTTTGGGTTCAAAATACAGTATGTTTGGTTTTTTTGAGGCTGTGGAGTTAGCAGAGAGTTGGATTTGGGGATTTAAATGCGGGATAAATACTGGTGTGGTTCCTGGGAGCTGTGAGAACCTGCTGGGCAGGAGGATGGGGCCGGCATGGCCGTGCCGCCGCAGCGTCTCTGCCCTCAAACCTCTGCTGGATAATTTGGGAGAGTCGGGAACGCGGTGGGAGAGAACAAAGTCTTTGGTGGCTGATTCCTCTGGGATTACTGTGAAATACTGGAATTGCAATGGCTGCAATTGCTAGCAGCTCCCCAGACCAGACAGACACCAGAACTGTTGGTCCTCTGTTTCTGCTGAAGTTGGATGTTAAGAAATCTTTGGACCCGTCTTTTCTCTGCAGCGCCTGGGAATGGTTTGGAGTCTCGGTGAAGCCGGTGTCCGAGCGAGTGTTGTCCAGGCTAGGAGAAATGCAAAGACCCCTAAGGAATACGTAAACTATGAGGGGCAAATCCCCAGTTTGGAATTGCTTCCAGCAGTGGAAGGCAGTGAGGAAACCGTGGTCTTTGCCACGCTGGTGTCTGTTGAAGTTTCGTCAGCACTGTGTCACGGGAAGCTCCTGAGCGGGAGCTGTTGGTGTGGGGGGTGTTTGAGGCAACTCTGGAAGCCGAACTCTGACGGGTTTCCCTTCCTGGGACTTCCCAGCTGAAGTGGGAAATCTCTCATCTCAAGTTCATTAATCCCGGCATGTCCAGGAGGGCGTGTGTTGGGAACGGCTTTATTTTGCGCTTGCTCGTGGTTTTTTTTGGCCTCTCTTCTTTTGCGGTGGGGTGAAGAGGAGGGTTTACGTGAGGAGCGTGTTTGGCGGGACTCAACTCTGAGTTCGGGAAGGTTTTCCAGACTTAGAGCGAGTCTGGCTTAAGGATGTTCCTTAATTTTGACTCAGTGGTGGGCAGCTGAGGTGTGGTGGTGGGTCAAACAGCCTCCCCGGGATGCCAGCACCTTGCGTGGGATTTGGGTAAAGGCCCCAAGCTTGAGATAAAAGCTGAGGGGAGGGAAGGGGCTGGAGTGTCCCTGCAGCGCCTCAAGTCAGCAAGGTGCAGTCACTCATCAGGAGAGAGATCCATGGGTCAACAGTGTTTTACTTTCTGCTAAATCACCAAGAAAAGCAAGTTCAGCCCAAGGACACGAGTCCCTCGCCATGGCTGAGGGATGTGGGTGCCCCCCTGGGCCCGGCGAAGCTGGAGGTGTTTGGGTGGCGGCTGCGGCTCTGTGTATGTGCAGGGTCTGACCTCTTCCCTGAGGAAAACCCATGGCTCGGCCACGTCCCCGCTACCCAAACGTGGTGGTAGGGTCGCAGGGAAGGGTTTCAGTCCACCCAAAATGCCGGGGACCTCTGGGACAGATGATCTCCCCCACGGTCAGAGCGCCAGCACCCTTCCCATGGAGGAGGGTCTGCAGGCAGACTCGAGTGCCGACGCTTTTGTGTTTGCAGCGTGCAGGAATTCATGACCTTCACGAGCCAGCTGATCGTGGAACGCTCGGAGCTGGGCAGCAGAGCCTCCGTCAAGGAGCAAGGTAAGAGGAGAGATAACCTGGGGTCAGCACATGCAGCCGCATGTGCTTTGCTCCTTGTCCGTTCACAATAAAAAAAATGAGACCTCAAAACAGCGCTCAGGCGAGTGGCATTAAAGGCGTGAGGTGACTGAGCTGGGTGAGAGCCCAGCCCGCCCTGTGAGAGGTTATGGGAGGAACAGGGACCTGCCTAACAGCCGGCTGCCACCTCCCACCTTTGTTACGCTCCTTCCCACCCTTGGGACACTCGGGGCTGTGCCACCACCACCTCTCAGCTTGCCCGGTTTGTCCCATCCCTGCTCCACACGGCAGCTACGGTCCCCTGAGGGGTGGCTGTGCTGCCACAGCCCCCGTCCCCTCTCCCTTGAGCTCTGCCATGTGAGCTGGGGCTCCGTACCCCAATATCTGCCCTCATCTCCAGCCTCTCTGCCCCACGCCACGTGCCTCCCCAACCCTGAGACGTGCAGGGTGCGGCCTGGCATCGGCCGCCGCGGCCTCTTTAATGACACTCCAGGCTTGTGACAAGTTGTTATTTATTAAAATCAGGCTGAGCTCTTCCCTCCTGCTTTGAAAATGCAGACAGAGGCCGTCGTGTTCCACACCACGTGGCCAGGCTGTGGTAACCTGCTGAAGCACAATTTGAGGCTGGTTCTGATCCTTCCTTGAGCCCTTCCCGCTCTCCTAATGAAATCACGTGAAACGTGGTTGCTGAATGAAACCTTCCAGGGCAATTCGTGGGTCGTGGAAGAGCTGCTGGGGCCGGGCGGGAGGCAGTGGGCGCTGGGGGTGGCTCTGGCCCTTCCTGCTGCTTCTCTGACATGAATTCTCTGCCCAGAGTACCTCTGCCACGTGTATGTCCGGAACGATGGGTTGGCTGGAGTGGTGATTGCAGATAACGAGTATCCGCAACGGGTTTGCTTCACCTTGCTGGACAAGGTGAGCGCGCGGGCCGGGAGCCACTCTGGAGGTGACAGTCTGCAGAGTGAGCTGCTCCACGGAGCTCCTCCACGTCTCCCATTCACGCTTTGACAAGGAAACGACCCTCCTGCTCGTTAGCTGGGGGTCATCAGAGCTGAGCTCGGCAGGATCCAGCCAGCCCAAAGACTTTCAAGCTGTGTGGTGACTTGGCTTTGCCCTCTAGGGTTTAGTCCCAGCTCCGTTCTGCTGCCAGCCCAGGCGTTGGCCTCGCAAACACCCTGTCCTCCCTGTCTGGCGTGGGTTTTATGTGGGGAAAACCGGGTGCAGCGGTGCTGCCGGCATTGCCGAAAACCAGTGATGATGTGTCTACCTGCCTTGGAGGGCGCAGGGCTTTGGGGGCAGTTGAGGACGGCCACCCCTACCTGGTGTGGGCACCGCTCTGTCTGTTGTTTGCCGAGGAAGTTGGTTTCTCTCTGTTCCCGTGGCTGGTTCAAAAGGGAACGAGGAGGAGGAGAAAAATCTCCTTTTTAGAGGAGAAGATCCCTTCTGCAGAGCCACCAGGCAGTAACTGCCCGCTTCCTCACCTCACAGGTGCTGGATGAATTCTCTAGGCAGGTCAGCAAAATAGACTGGCCTTCGGGATCCCCGGCGACAATCAGCTACGCAGCCTTGGACGGGTACCTCAGCAAATTCCAGGTACGGGACCCCTGTGGGTGACACCCCGGGACACCGGGTTTGTGGCCTGGGGGATGCCATTGTCCCTACGGCCGTGGTGCCAACACTGTGTTTCTCTCCGAGAACCCCCGCGATGCCGACCCGATGACCAGAGTGCAGGCGGAGCTGGACGAGACCAAAATCATTCTGGTGAGGAGGATGCTGAGCCTGCGGCGGGGACGCTCCAGCTGGCGCATCTTCTGGGGCATAGGGTGGCCCTCCAGGAGCCAGGGTGGCTGTGGAGGCTCATCCCCGGATGGCAACACAGTGGCAGCTCCATCTTCTGCTCAGGGCTGGGAAGGGATTGGGGAGGGCCCGCTGTGGCAGCGCTGTGGGTCAGCTCAGGTTTCTTTTGGCAGCACAACACTATGGAGTCGCTGTTGGAGCGAGGGGAGAAGCTGGACGATTTGGTCTCCAAATCGGAGGTGCTCGGGGCACAGTCCAAAGCCTTCTACAAAACTGTGAGTGCGGATTTTCATCCCAGGGGAGGGTCACTCCCCTCTTCCCCGAGGAGCCAGGGGTGGGCTGGGGCTGGGGAAGGGCAGAGTAAACCCCCCGGGCAGTGGATGTGGGTGCCAAGCAAGGACCACCCTCCACTGGCCCAGCGGCGTCAGCCCTGGAGGGAGCTTGGTTGCCCAAATCCTGGTTGCAGAGCTCCCCAAACACCACGCTCAGGCCGTGGGGCTGGTGGAGGAGGACGCCGAGCCCTGTTGCGGTGGTTCCTGGCACAGGCTGCGGCTGAGGTGGTCAGATCTGTGCCATGGGGTGAACCGTGAGGGCTGGGACCGTGCCGGCTCCCTCCGGTGGGAGGAGGGCTGTGCGGGCGGCTCTGTGCCCCCCTCCCTCCATCCTTGAGGAGCTGCAGTGAGCATCATTCCCGCTTTTTCTTCTCATCCCAGGCCAGAA